TGTCTGAGTACTACAGTAAAACTCAATTATTTTTAAAATGTATTTATTTATTTGAAAGGCAGATTATATAGAGGAAGAAGAGGAGGGGGGAAGAGGGAGAGAAAGCAAGCGAGAGAGAGAGGGATCTTCCATCTGCTGGTTCACTCCCCACACGGCTGAAAAAGCCAAGGCTGAGCCAGACCAAAGCTAGGAGCAAGGAGCTTCATCCACATCTCCCACATGGGTGCAGCATCTCAAGCACTTGGGCCATCCGCCTCTGCTCTCTCAGGCTCATTAGCAGAGAGCTGGCTCAGAAGTAGAATAGCAGGAACACGAATGCAGCCCATATGGGATAGCAGTGCTGCGGGTTGCAGCTTAAGCTTCTGTGTCACTGCACTGGCCCCTAGAATTCGAAATTTTGCAATAAATGTTTTGTCATGTAAGTTTAAAAAGATAACATATAAACATTACACACTGTAAAATTTTAGTTATACAACAATAAAATTACCAAAATAAAATGTATGTTGAAATTATATGCAACATAGTTTCTTCAACAAGAAATTCAGGAAAAGACATTAAGTTTTAAGCATAGGTGTTTTTTAAGACTATTAAAATATGATTCAAATAAGCAGTTCTTAAATTGACCTTCTAGAAAGGCAAAGAATATAACATCAAATCAAATTTCAGGTAGTGCATTTCTACAAAGGATAAGAATTATAATGTACAGCCAGACACTTTGCTCTCTAATCATCTTACTTAATTCAGTGATAGAACTTGGAAATACTAGATAGACAGCTAAAATGCCCATTACCTGTCTCAATCAAATATCAGGTGCCTTAAATGAATCTTCAGTAGGTGTTGAACCAAGGCCAAGAGATAAATGAATTTTCTTTCAGATGTACGTAATGCCTTTTTGTAGCACAAAGAGAGAGATGTCCTTTAGAATGTCAGATATGTAAAGGGATGACTTTGGTCTTTTAATGTAACTATTTGAATGGACGCACATTGAGCATTATTACAAAGTCACTGTTAAGTCCAAACATGAATTATAACTTGCCAAGGAATCACATACTCTCCAAAAATGTTTGTTCATAAATTATTTTAATATTTTAGAACATTAACAAAAACTTTCACATATCAACATTTTAACTAATAGTATCTCTGTTTTACAAACACTAATAATTTTTCACAAGTCAAAAATAGTCCATATCTGAGAGATAAAAAGAAGACATGTTTATTTTCAAAGGAAGAAAAGCACAACCTTCAAATTCACTTTTCAATACTGTGAAAGCACAATAATTTGTCTCATACAAAGGAAGAAATTGCTTTGTGCTATTTATGGCATATCTTGTTGTGACTTTCTAATGAAGATAATTAAGCTTTTAACCAGTAACAAAAAAATAAATGATGTGTTAATATATTGTAAATTTCTCTTTAAAAAAAAAAAACAAATTAAAGGATTTGAATTGGGTGATTTCACCATAAGCAAATGTAAAATGTTTGAACAGATGAATTTATGTAAACCTACAGGCATTACACTATGTATACATATACCAAAAAATCACAATGTACTCCAATAATATGTATAATTCTTAAATATTTAAAAGATAAAAATAAAGAAAGATTCCCTTTTCTTTACTTAACTAAATATAAATTGAAACATACCTATTTGCTTTATGAAAATACTAGAATAAAATGTTTCTGTCCCAGGGCTACTGTGGATTCCTTTTACATGAAATGCTATGAAATTTTTATCCCATTTGCTCTGCTATAATATAATAATACAAGGTGAAATCTCGAGTTCAAACAAGACTTTAGTAAAAAGCAATGTTTCCCACAAACAGCATAGAGTCTGTTGGAGACATAATTATTTATGTATGCAATCAAGAGCTATTTAGATATAAGTTAATATTTGACCAATAAATTAAAGGATAGAGGGTTGCATCTTGCCATGTAAATATCAAAGGTACAAAGGGTAAAGCATTTGAGATGGGTCTGTGAACAGCTGAGATGGAAGGCACAGGAAATATGGGGCAGTATAAGTAGTTACAAACAAAGTTAGAAATGCAGCTGGAATAGTTTTTGTTAAAGGGACATGGGGAATAACAGAATGTCAATGATTTTGCAAAGTCAAGGAATCTTTTGCAGTCACATTCAACCTAAAAGTGTGATTGCTCTCTGGAATTCCAGAGGACCCTGCCAGTACATTTCAATCTCAGCCACAATACCTTGAGCAGGTGTAGCAGAGAACAGAGAGACTGACATAAATACAGTTACTGAAATGGAAAATGATAATATTGAACAAGATGACAGATTTCTCCGTATGTAGTAAATAAATAAATTTTCAGCAGCTAATCAAAGACTGCAGCAATGAGCATGGAGCATGGGAAATTACTAATATCATTCATGGAAAGAACAGATTATGCTGGGTGAAGGGGAATTGATTTCAGATCCTTTTGAGATACTTATTAAATGGCCATACGTTGTAGTAAGGTTATTTGATTCTTAGATTCCAGAGAAAAGGTGAGCTAGCTGAGGAAGGCATGTTCAAAGATCCTCAGGTTGTATGTGTGTTGAGAGTTCCTTAGACCAGAGTATGGCAAGAAAACAGAGACCAGGACAGAATACTGGGGAACTCCATGGCAAGAAGTAGGCAGACAGGGAAAACCGCGAAAACCAGGCACAGTGGGTGCCATGAGACCTGAGAGAAGTCAATGCTTAAAAAATGGAGTCTAGTTTAATAGGGTGAATCCATGAATATGGGTGCAGTAAAAGAAGGACCAAGGAACAGCCACTTAGCTGTGGAAAGGTAGTTAGCTTGTATAAAAAATGATTATTGGGCTTTGGGTTTTACTTATTCTGGTTTTAGCTTCTATGAAATATTGAATATTTTGTGATTTTCTTTAATTAATTAAATAGGTTTGTCAACTGAACGCCTTACAAATAGCAAAGGAAATGCCTTCTTTAAAACCGCTTTTTCTTATTTTAGCAATATGCAGGAATTGAAGAACATATTGTGGCCTAAAAATGTTTATCTTAGTTGTTTGTTTTTAAAGACCATTTTTGTGTAAAAAAAAGAAAGTAAAAAAATTACAACTGATTCAATACTATTATTTTAAGTATATTCATAAATAAAATAAACAAAAACAATCATGTTATCCTACAAATCAGCTTAATATTTTAAAACTAGTTTTGAAATAGCCTTTGGATATGAATAAAGAGAGCACATTGAGACTGGCATTATCGTACAGCGGTTTAAGTCGCTAATGCGATGTCAGCATCAATATGGACACCTGTTTGAGTCCCAGCTGCTGCACTTCTGATCTGGCAGCTGCAGATGGACAAAGTATTTAAGCCCCTTCAACCTATGTGGGAGACCCAGATGAAGTTCCAGGCCTCCAGCTTCAACCAGGCTAAGTCCTTGCTGTTGTGGCTATATAGGGTAAACCAACAAAAGAAAGATTGCTGTCTCTTCCTCTGTCTACTTGCCTTTCAAATAAATGAATAAATCCTTTTTTTTAAAAAAAAAAGGAGAATAAATTGATAATACTTAAACTTGGGTCTTTATTGATACAAATTGCATGTATTGAAATTGAAATTCATGCATGCATGAAATTAAAATTTATTTGAATTTTAGTCCCATAGAATTTGCTGGCCATTTTATTCTTATATATTTTTGCATGGCATGCAAGTATTTCATTAAGGCACCAAAATCTCAAAATCTGAAGATAATCAATACAATAATAGTAAAATGTTTGTTTTGAGTTACTTATTAAACACTAAATTGTTATGTTTCCTCATTTTACAAAGTAAAATTAAACAGATAAAGTGTCTTTGTTTTAATATGGCTGCCATAAAAGTGTTTAAATAAGTTAAGAAAACAATTTTAGTTATGATAATTATGTTAAACAGTAGTTGCTATTAGAAATATAATCTCTTTATTTTAAGATTTTATTATATTTATTTGTTAGACAGAGTTACAGAGAGATGTCTTCCATCCACTGGTTAACTCCCCAAATGGCCTTAACGGCCAGAGCTGAGCTGATCCAAAGCCTCTTCTGGGTTTCCCACGTAGGTGCAAGGGCCCAAGGACTTGGGCCATCTTCCACTGCTTTCCCAGGCCACAGCAGAGAACTGGATGGGAAGTGGAGCAGTTGGGACTTGAACCGGTGCCCTTACGGGATTCCAGCACTGCAGGCCAGGGCTTTAATCCACTGCGCCATAGCACCGGCCCCAGAAATATAAACTATTGGGTGATAAGCAATTCTGTGATCTGAGCCAACATTTCTGGAGTGATAGTTATCTTCACATTGTTTCCGTTGACTCACAAAGAACAACTTATATGGTGATGCTTATGTCTAATACTTTATGTATGATAATTATTGTGCAAATTACGCTTTTATGCAATGCCACTGTCCTCTTTCAAAAATGAAAACTGAGACTTTTCCCATCTTGCTTTATTTGTCATACATCTTTATATACTTCTTCGAAAGGCAGAATATGTAGTCAAAGTTCCTGAGGAATGTAATTTTCATTGGTAGGTTAGAGGCAGTGAAACAGCAAGATTGCTCCCTCATAATCACAAGTAATGTAATTGGAAGCCAACAAAACTCTTCCATTTAAAGCATGCAGGTTTTTAAAATGCAAAGATCACCTGATTTCATCTGTACACATTATACACATATATTGAAATGTCACATTGGACCCTGTAAATGTGTATAAGTATTGTTAATAAGAAAGAATTTTAAATATGTAAAAAGACAAAGATCAGATTAAATTAAAAATATGGCTAAGATATGCTTACAGGTTTTTACTACATGTCAACATTTCTGTAAGCCAGTGGGCAGATAAAATGGATAAGCTGAAAGCAGTAAATCAAAAATACAGAAATATTACTGTTGGGAAAAATTAAGTGTGAATGAGTTTATTTTCATTCATAAATGTATAATAAACATCATATGTTTGGTCATCATTTTGCACTAACAGGCATATTTTTTTTTTTCTTGAACTTATGCAAACAGAGCCCAGATGGCCGTATCGAAGTCAAAGGCCACCATGGAAGCTCATCACTGCATATGAAAGAGGTGAAGTTGTCCGACTCAGGCAGATATGACTGTGAAGCTGCAAGTAGAATTGGAGGGCACCAAAAAAGCATGTACCTTGACATTGAATGTAAGTGATTTTTAATTTGTATCTTTATTGAAGCACTTGTATCTCTTTAAAGAGCAGTAATTTTATATGAATATTAAGGTACGTATTTAGTTCATGTTTTTGGTATTTCACGTGTAGCTTTCAAAGGATTGTTAACTATTAAAAATCAGTTATTAGAGACATCTAGTGGATGATATGGGACATTTCATAATTTGGTATATTAAAGTGTCTTATATTTTTTTTCATGAAAATGGTGAGTTTCTTTATTTGCAACATTTAACCCTAACACAGTATTGGCTATACTACATTAGTTGTAGTTACTGTTCAACATCTTCTAGATTTTTGTCTATTTTTTAAAATAATAGCTATTTATTATTTTTAAATAAAATATGTGGCACTATGTGGCACATATGCAGTGCATGTTTTCACTTACTACTCAATTTGTTTTGTTGAATAGTTTTTCATCCTCATAAGATATGAAATAATATTATGCATATAGTAAAATGTATCAGTAGTAACTTTTGTCATACTGTGCTTGCTGTCTGAAAAAGACATCCAGTATAAAAAGAGTTGCTAAAATAAAAAAAAAAAATAACTATTTGAGATAACTAAGTGAGATAGCTAATGCAAATTAAGCCTTCACAATTTTCCTTAACCTATTGCCTGGAAATTTAAAATAATTTGGTATGAATGTTATTTAAAAATGATGTAATTTAACATCATTCTCAGTAAACATTAGTGAATCACTAAGCTGGAGACGCTGATGCTTGAAAAGACGTATCTCTTTTAACAAGTATATATGAGAAAGTTTTATTGATAAAACATTTCTTTTAGAAAATTTCTCATGCAGTAATGTTGATAGAATGTAAGGAACCATGAAACAAAATGCATTTTCTCTTGCAAGTGCCTTTAGCAAGAAATATTTTTTTAAGAATTAACACAAGTAAACAATATTAATTTACATATTTGTAGGTTATGTTTTTTGAGAAATTCATGGAAATGACAATTGAAAAAGCTGAGAAAAGGTAGTCAACAATGGAAGGCATTTTGCTTCTATCACAAATTGCTGACTTTACTTGCTATTGGGCAACTTCCCAGAAAGTCATATTTTAAATGACTTTAAACTTAAATTTATATATGTAAACCAAATTTTGTTATTTTCCTTCATTTAATATGAATGTAAGTGAAGAAACACGTAAGGGAGACATGACATGATTTCTATCAGAAAGCACCCAATTATTTTGGTGGACAAGCCCTTAGAGTAGTTCCGGCTTTTTTACACTGTTCAAAAAAAGGATACTAGACAGTATATTCTCTTATGAAGCAATATTAGGGTTTTTGTCTTTACATTTTGTAAAAATAGTTTTAAATTTATTAGACATATCATAGGGTTTTACTGATTTTCTTTTTTTACTGTTTTTAAAGGAAGTTTAATATATATATATTCATTAAGCTATGATATTGCAACTATGAAGATGAACAGAAAAGTTTAAAGGTTTTCATAGGGCTGAAGAAGAGTATGCAAGGAAGAACAAACATGAAAGAAAGCCTGCTTCTAGGGACTGTGGCTCAGGCCTTGCTGCAGAGATGTGATTGCATCCCCCTGGATGGTGGAGATTTCACTAAAATGTCTATGCTGCAGTGTTACTGAATTTTTATTGCCAGACAGAGAAGTGGTGGTAGGGCAGTTGCTGTGGCCCAGTCAGTTACACTGCATGTATCAATGTGTCTGGTTTGAGTCTTAGAAACACTGGTTCTGATCCGGTTTCCTGCTAACGCATATACTTGGAGGCAGCAGGTGATGGCTCAAGCACTTGTGTTGCTGTCACCCCCAAGAGAAACTGAGATGGAGCATTAGGCTTCCAATTTCTGCCTTGCCTAGCTCCAGCTGTTGCAGCCATTTGGTGTGTGAATATCTCGTTATTTTTCTGTTGCTATGTCTTTTAAATAAATAAAAATACATAAATGACAATTTTTGGAAAAGCAGAGAAAATAGACTTCATGAGAAATGAGCACTGTTATTATTTTCGAGAAACAGTAAGGTAAAGTGACTCATATGTGAATGCTTTTACTAGAATGGTACTAGCTGGTCTTGTAGTTTGAGGACCAGTGATAATGGTTCTTATGACCAGCAACTTAGAGACTTCATTTTCCTAAATTATAAAACAATAAGAGTGATGAAAGAGACTCCTGGGGCTTCATACTCAAACATTTAAACATACTTTTAATCCAGCATATCCATATTTATCAGATGCCTGAAACTTCAGAATTGTCCTCATGCATGGCTACATATGAGTTGGTATGAAAAGAATAAAAATTTAAACTAAGTTCTATGTGCTCTGTTTATTTATATTTAAAAACCTCATGTAAACGATTTAAAAATCTACACTAGCTCCACCTTGTAAGTTTTGTTTTGTAATACATGATAACAGACACAAACATGAATGAAACACAGCCTCTGTTATATTAAGGGACTCGGATCAACAAGGTTTAAATCAAATTAAACAAGCATTTAAATGTTAAATAATGATAGAGGAGAAACAAATCAAATTAATGTGAAATGCTAATATTTGATGACACGATTTTAGTTATCAGTGATTTCAGCTAGATAGAAAACAATGGGACAAATGACTATGTTGCTAGATGAATTAATGCTCTTGTGGTCTTTTAATAACATGCGTAATTTAATGTAAGAAGTACTGAGAATGGTCTGTTTTTCAAGGATTGATTTCTAGCAAAGTAGTAATTTCTCTTGATCACAGATGCATTCTTCTCTCACCTTAGAGTTTTAGACACTGGTCTGTTTTTCTGCTTAACTATTCTGAGGCAAATTTTTGCAGTAATGCTCACAAAAATTATGCTATTTTTCATATGAAGAAGGTTAAAATATTTTATAAAACTATGTTTTGAGAATTCTCTGAACATTTCTGAGATAGTTGTTGCCTCCATGTGGATTAGGATCTGACTAGGAAATGTATTTGGAAAATAAGTGTTTATTTTTAAACAATAAGGCTTTTCCTATAGTAAATCATTGTTTAAAAATAAATGTTATTTTAACTAAACATTTATATATTTTCCCACTAATATTGTTGAAATTGAGTTTTCTCACTTGATCAATTTTTTGATAAAATATACACATGTAAGGATAATTAGAAAATAAGCAATCTCTATTTTATTTTTTATTGAAATATCCATTAATGAGGTGCTTTCTTATAAATTATAAAATGTGATCAAGTTTGACATATATTTACATTCCCAATCCACTGCAATCATCAGAACAAATATCTATTGTGCTTAACTCTTCTTAAGCCCCTTGTAATTTATCCTTCCTTTTATATTCATCCCTAGGCATCTATCTATTTTTTATTTCATAATTTAGTTTGCATTTCTAAAAAGTTTGCTTATGTGGAATCATGTACTATAATTTTATCTTTAAATTTATAGTTTAATAATAAAAAACTAGATATACATAGGATGCAAAATGTTCTTAAAAATTAATTGGGATTTGTAATTGAAAACATAATCATATGCATTTGTAGAATACAATATTTTGATATTTGTATACAATATGGAGTGATTAAATTAAGGTAATCAAAATAGCTGTCATCTTGCTTAACTGCAATTTTTGATAAAGAATTTGAAATTTACTACTTCTTATTTTGAAATGCACAGATTATTGACTGCACCCAACTGTAGAACAAATCTCAAAGCTTGTTCTTTCCTTCTGTCTGAAACTTTTTTCCCTTTCATTGTAGCTTCTGTTAGCCATCATCCTACTCTTTTCTTCTATGAGTTCTTTATTAGATTCCATATTTAAGTGAGATTGTGTGCAACTTGTCTTTCTTACCTGTTTTGTTTCACTTAGCACAGTGAGCCAGATTCATGCAAGTTTTGCCAAGTGGCAGGGTTTCCCTCACTTAAAGATTGGCTATGTCTGATATGTTTATTGGTTGTGTGTATATATCCCATTTTATTGATCTGTTCATTCATTGATGAATCTTTAGGGTGATTCCATGTCTTAGATGTTGTGAATAGTGGTGTAATGAATATGATCATGCAGATGGTTCTATGAGATGCTGATTTTCTTGTGGAATGGGTGAAAATATCTTGTGTTCTGTCTGTGCTGCAATTTGTGGATAGCTGTCTGTAGAGTAAGAGCAGTTAAAATCTTCTGCTATTACTGTGAACTTTGTTCTCTTTTTTTAATCCCTTTGATCTTCCAATCATGTATTTTGAGGCTTAAGAACAATGTAAGCCTTTGAACTTTGTTTGCTGTGTTAGTTTCCTCCTGCTGCAATAATCAATTCACAGCAATCTTAGTTGCTGTAAGTAACACAAATTTATTATCTTAACCATTATGAATGTCAGTGGTCTGAAATGAGCCTTGCTGGGTAGAATCAAATGTCAGCTGTGCTCTGTTCCTCAGTGGAGGCTCTAGGAGGGATCCTCAATTCCCTGCCTTTTTCAGCTGTTAAAGGCTGTTCGCAGTCCTTAGGTCATTGTTCTCTGCTGTGCTCACAGGCAGCGATGGCAGGTCAAGTTTTTCTCATATCACATCTCCTCATTGCTTTCTTCTTCACAACTCCATCTCTGTCTCAGACTTTCCTGCCAATAATTGTATCCACTAGAACAATCTAGAGTAATCTTTTTTTTTAAACTTTTATTTAATGAATATAAATTTCCAAAGTACGACTTATGGATTACAATGGCTTCCCCCCCATACCGTCCCTCCCACCCACAACCCTCCCCTTTCCCACTCCCTCTCCCCTTCCATTCACATCAAGATTCATTTTCGATTATCTTAATATACAGAAGATCAGCTTAGTATACATTAAGTAAGGATTTCAACAGTTTGCTCCCACACAGAAACATAAAGTGAAAAATAATAGATGATTTTTTTTAAATGATGATGAAATCAGAGCAGACCTATTGTCATGTTTAATCCCAGTGAGAGTCAAGTTGGGAGTTGATAATTTCTTTCTTTTTTTTTTTTTTCTTTTTTTTTTTTTTTTTTTTTTTTACAGAGGATCAGTTTAGTATGCATTAAGT